CAGAACCGTTCCACTGTCCGTTTCTGTAATAGCATTTTCACCGTGCTAAGCCTATTCTCTAAGGCAGATTCAAATAGCTACTTTCCTCCATAATTTTGTGTCTGTTGAAGATCCCTAGGACTTTCTTCTTTAAGTTAAGCTTCAATTTTTACATTGAAAGCTCCAATCACCCTCATGTTTTCTAATATTTAATTTTGTATGTCTTTGTAAAATTCATTTACAGCTTCGTCATCATAACTTTCTGTTAGTGTATACACTTTAATCATTATCTTTTCTTTCTTTTGCCAACACATTTATATTGCAAGGACTGTATTTCAGTAACTTATTGGCAATTCTTGTTATTTAATCTTTTAATTTTGAGTGTGTCAATAAACCTGTTTCTTTCACTTTCTTGTTCTTTTCTCTCTATCTCTGGTGTACAGCCGTGTACCATTTTTAGCTGATATTGTACCTTATCCCATTAGTTGAGTTTCTGCTAGGCCTACAATATCCCAGTTGATGTCTTCCACCTCCTCCAACAACAGTTCCATCTGATGTGGCCATATTGATTTTGGTCATGTTTCTTTTATTCCTTCATTTGTTGTTATTTCCATGATTAACTCGGAATGGGGCTCCATCCCGGGCACTATTCCTCCTCCTTCATATGAAGTTATTTACCTTAAGCTGATATACTGCCAAGATGTGTTAACAGAAAACCTTTCCTTCCCACCCATAACGTTTTTTCTATACATAGCAACTGAAAGGTTTTCTTACAGATGTTAATCAAAGTGTTCAGAGTAAGGTAGTAATTATAACACTTGGAAACACAAGCTATTCTGTATCACATAGATACATAAATGTTGGAGTTTTTGAACAAAACAACCCAAATCATTATTGCAAAATATCACGTTGTGATGAGAGTAAATACAAGTAGAATCTTTAGATCTGAAAGTATTGGAGAGACGGCCTTTTTTAGAGAAGACTTTAAACATATTATGTTCCATTCCTTTAGAATGTCTAGTTTCCTGAAAAGTTAATTATTAGCTCGAACAGAACTACAACATAAATAACAGTTTTGTAAAACCTGACAGTCAAGAATGTTTTGATATCTTGCATTAAATACAAGTACTTTGTTGTGTACACAGCTGTGTAAACTTGACAGTCAAGAATACTTTGTTGTGTACACAGCTGTGTAAACTTGACAGTCAAGAATCCTTTTTGTTTGTACACAGATGTGTAAACTTGACAGTCAAGAATCCTTTTTGTTGTGTACACAGATGTGTAAACTTGACAGTCAAGAATCCTTTTTGTTGTGTACATAGCTGTGTAAACTTGACAGTCAAGAATACTTTTTGTTGTGTACACAACTGTGTAAACTTGACAGTTAATGTTTTTATCTATGGGATTTTTTAGTCCTTTTTAATTCACCATACAGTAACCTAAATTAATTTAAAGTATGTGAATAATGTTAAGACATTTCGCCGAATTGTTTAATGATGTGTCTATGTGTGCGTGTGAAATATTTCCTCTTTTTTGTTTATACAAATATGTAAACTAGACAGTCAAGAATGTTTGAGTGCTATTACAATGTCACTACGGCGAAATATTTGCTGAATTAATTTGAATCAAATACATAGTTAACACTAATTCTTCATTTAGGCCCAGTTTACATTTTCTTGTACATTTTTGTATATTATTATTGTCGTACTCGAACTACCCAAAGTAAAATTATAAAAAAAATGCGTAAATACGAACACAAAATTTACGATAATCTTTTATTTCAAAGGTCAAAAACAAGTAGCTTTATCTACATTTTATCTTTTGTAAGAAGAAAGGAATTTCTTAAAACCAATAAGGATCACTCAGAAAGCCAGGGATTTTTTTTTTGTAAGTGCATATCGATTTCCAGTGGCAAACTTGCTAACGGGTAGAGAAGAAAACCTATAAAAATACATAAAAAAACTGTATTAATTACAAATAAGAAACAATTAATGTCGTTGAATAAGCTGTAATAGTTTTTTTTTTCACACTATAGATTTTAGCAAGATTTAACACGCGTGTTTGGACTTTAAGTATTAAAGATTAATTTAAAAATTATATAGTTGAAGAAAAGTCCCATCTCGTCATATATAAAATATTTGATTCGCAGATAAGTTACAGTATATTAAAAAATAGTAAATTGGACTTGTACACGACATCTGTGTTATGTAAGTGAACCGGACCTATTAATCTTTCTTTACAACCACACATGAACAGTATCTCCAACCTTCTGGTTCTAAGAAGATAAAGAAAATTTTTCCTAATTTATGTAAAGTATTATAAAACCCACTTTATTTATTCTTCTCAAAAGTTGTATTTTTTAAATATACCAACAAGACGACGATTGTTCTTAGATAATCGTGTTTTAAACATACCAACAAGAAGACGATTGTCCTTAGATAATCGTGTTTTAAACATACCAACAAGAAGACGATTGTCCTTAGATAATCGTGTTTTAAACATACCAACAAGAAGACGATTGTCCTTAGATAATCATATTTTAAACATACCATCAGGAAGACGATTGTTCTTAGATAATCATATTTTAAACACACCATCAGGAAGACGATTGTTCTTAGATAATCGTATTTTAAACATACCATCAGGAAGACGATTGTTCTTAGATAATCGTGTTTTTTTACTGCCATCTTGTGGTAGAGTTTTAAATGTTTCTTGATTCGTGAAACATTAATTAAATACTTTCATTCAGGTGTGAACTTTATGAAAGTGGAATTTACAAACAGGATAAACCAGCGAGAGTTACCCAGTTACACCAGTTGTTCAACTGTTAAAAACTAGGAATTCCAACCGATACTGTTACAAGTGTTCTTATTTCAGTAATATATGACCTTATAACTCCAAATTTCATTTCTATTTAATTTGGACACTCGACGTTTCGCTTTACAGCCTCTTCTGGAGTGTTCCACTAAAACACAAACCGTAACTAATATGCATTACAAGAATTAGATAATGAGTATTATATTCTTGCCATTAGAAATCAGTGGGATATCTCTTGCTTGATCACCCTATAGTTCAGAACAGTAACAGCTAGGTTGAATTTTATACACGTGATCCACTCTTTAAAATTAAAACTAGCTACGAGTGGCCGTATTAAAACATAAAACTATGGTAGAATGTAAAGTAACTTACGGATGATAGGCGTATCTGTATGTTAAGACAAAAGATTACTCCTCGTCACCTCCGATTTTACTTAGACGACCGGGCCTCATCACAGGCTAAAAGAATCAAAATAACAGAATACGTCAAACTCCCTAAATTAAAATATACTTAGTGCTAAAAATAAATAAATAAAAGCATTTAGTTTTATTTCTCAAGCCAAATACAACTCTCCGGCCCTAGAAGCGTGACAGTACACCTTTTTACAAATGTGACTGTCCAGACAAGAATCGTATAAAACCAAAAATATTACCCAGAAGAAGGCTTTTAATAAATGATATCAGTTACACCGTTGTAACATATTAAAATAAAAAAAACAGTTAAACAGTTAGAACCAGTATTGAATCCAGACCTTTCCACCGGGTAAGGGAATGAATTCCAATTCGACAAAATGGAAATTACTGTACTTCAGGGGGGGGGGGGAGTATTTTTTGCCCAGGGGGAAATTCCCCCTTGTACACACATGGATTCAACACTGGTTGGAACAGGGAAGATATGGACTTAATGTTTCGTACAAATGATTTTAACGGACATGCTATCAATAGAGATGCTTTCTACCTTAATTATACTTGTATTTTAAAAAGTTTGTTTTTGAGTCAAACTTTACGTCTGTTTTCTTCTGTTAAGTTAGTATTTTCTATTAAAAGTCGAATAAACAAACAGTATTTATCGTGCAATTCGGTTTATTTCAAAATAAAACTTGTGTATCTTATTTAATTGTACTTTTAATTTTAAAAAATCAATATTAGTCCTATGATGTTTTTAAAAGTAAATTCTTTATCTAATCCCCTAGAGATTTTCAAGAATTAGAAGAACGTAATAATATATATACCAACCACGTTCGCCATATCCATTGCCGATGACGCGTTTCGCTCAATCCAGAGCTCATCAGGCCGTTTAGGATACAACAAACATAGTAGTGGTCGTTACACTCTTTATATAAGCCGTTTGTTACAACAATAATTGTTATGGTTTGGAAAGGCGTTCACTCAATAGCTATTGTCGTGCACCCCGTTTGCTTTTAAACTGAATTTACTTTATCGTAAATGGGCTTCAAAAACACTAGCCGTCCACTTACCCCTGGGCTTACTCCTCGACTGGCAGAGGCGGAGCTACGGTTCTTGGCACGCAATTTGGCGAGGGCATTTTCGGCCATGTCTGACCGCTCTTCAGCGTCCTCCAGTTCCTGTTGAACCTTGCGGAATTTGGCCAGATTCAAAGCAGCAATTTCCTCCTAGTGAAGAGAAGTTGAAAATATTTAAAAATAAAATCTCCAGGAACGAGAGTGCATCCTCTTTCCTTTAGCTAAATATCGCCGTATCGTGTCGTTGTTTTTTGTAATTATAATGTGTATCAGCCAAATATGGTAATAAATATAGTGACCACCTTAGCAGCTTTATTCTTTATATTATTTACACATGTTTAGGAATAACAAAAGTCTTGCTTTCGGGTATTTAAAGTTTAAAACCTATCACCTGCTATTGGTAGTTCAACTCTGACACTTTGGTTTCGTTAATGATACGTAGTTTTGGTTGATATTAAATTATTTATACCATTTAAAGTAGTGATATACTTACAGCTTCCTCAATCTGTCTCTTATAGGTCTTGAGTTTCTGTTGCAATTTGTCAACTAAGTCTTGCATACGCTCGTGGTTTTTGCGATCTTCGTCAGCCTGGAACTGGAGCTCTTTTATTCTACGTTCTCCCTTTCTGAAATTCTTAGAAGAGTCCGCATGACGGCGCTGTTCGTTTTCTAGTTCGTTTTCCAGCTCACGCACCTAAACATATTCGCTCATTAATAAATGTTGAACATAAAACAGAATTAATTGATACTGATATATATTACTTTTCACCATAAAAACCTACAACGAGGCGAAGCTATAATGTTATTTGTAACAAGTGAAACTCATTATTTAACACAACATCGTGTCTCGATTAATAGTATATTTATTTTACTTGTATCGGATACTTGAGTAAAACTATACGAAGGCTACCTGCTGCTAGCCGCCCCCGATATTTGAGTAAAGCTATACAAGGGCTACCTGCTGCTAGCCGTCCCCGATATTTGAGTAAAGCTATACGAGGGCGACCTGCTGCTAGCCGTCCCCGATATTTGAGTAAAGCTTTACAAGAGCGACCTGCTGTTAGCCGTCCCCGATATTTGAGTAAAGCTATACAAGGGCTACCTGCTGTTAGCCGTCCCCGATATTTGAGTAAAGCTATACGAGGGCTATCTTCAATAATTTGGAATTGGCAGACTAGAGGGAAAGCAACTCTTGGGCTTTTCTATTCTAATAGTGGGATTTGACCGTTACTCTTTTAATGCATTCACGGCCCAAAAGAGGCAATTTTCTTTTACGGCAAAATGACGCGAACCTTAGACCCTCGGATCCACAGTCCGGCAAGCTAACCACTAGGCCATGCCCGGTTTCTCAAGTAATGGAAGCTTTACGTACACCGACATTAATATAAAATAACCTACCTTTGTTTCTAGACTACTCTTTTCTACAGGTATTTGATTTTTTTTTCTTTCTTTTTATGCATTACTACTGCCCAGCACGCGAACATAAACACTTCGAAACAGTTGGAAATACATTTCTGATGGAGGTTGACAATGTAGTAAATCCTTTGTGGTTTTATGTAAACAAAATTGCTCATATTAAAATATATTATTAAAAATCGGAAATTAAATACTTCCATTTTGACTGATCAAACTAATAATTTTTCGAACCTTCTGTTCCAGTTTCTGGATGATTTTCTTTCCGCCCCTCAAAGCAGCAGCCTCGGCCTCGTCAAGACGGACTTGTAGTTCCTTCATCTGACCCTCCATCGCCTTGCGCATCTTCTCTTGTTGTTGACCATGTTCCTGTTCAGCTCTAAGTTCATCAGCAAGGCGAGCAGCGTCCACCATGGCCTTCTTGGCTTTTTCCTCAGATTGTTTGGCCTCGTTCAACATCTCGTCCAAATCAGACTAAAGTAAGGAAACATTGACGTGTTCTTAGTTATTGAATAGATATCAGGTTAAGGTTACTAGTCTACTTTTATATCGTTAATCAAAAACTATTACTACATTTCCTATTATCTTAGTTTTAGATTTGATAAGACAAGCAATGTTATTTAAAGAATTCATATTGAGTGTTGTAAACTTAAGCGCTCTCCCATACATTATTAGAATTAAAATATAAAACCGCTCTGTTGAGTAAAATTAAATATAAGGCTTCTCTTACTTGCAAAGCTTGCATTTCTCCTTCAAGCTTCTTTTTGGCCATAGAGAGAGATGCAGTGTTGGCGGACAACTCGTTCATCTGTTCGTGGGTATCAGCCAGCTCCGTCTCTGCTGAACGTCGCCCGCGGTCAGCCTTGTATTAAGAAAAAGAGAGACAGACTGATTAAATCTATCACAACACTTCATCCCTAGAAAAGGCGAGTAAAATGAATTACGGTATCTCCGAGTCAGATATTAGTAACGTAAAACAAACTTTGGTTTAGATACCGATCTATCAATCAAATCTAAAGCAACTCCACAGACTCTCGACTGTATCTTGCTGACAGACATTTACTTCATTCCTTCAGTTCTGATTCTTTGTATCAGAACTCGCTAGTTTTAAAAAGGCGGCGGACAGTGCGAAGGATTTATTATTATTATTATTACTGTTTGGAAATTAATGCGGATCAAGTAGCGAATTCAACGATGTCTCACCTGTTCCAGAAGTTGTCTACTTTCTTCCAGTTCGCCCTGGAGGGCGTGGCCACGTCTTTCAGCCATGGCGTATTGTTCTCTGGCTTCATCGCGTCCTCTCTGTTCTTCTTCCACTGCTTGTTGAAGTTCCTTGACCTGCTGCTGGTACCTCTTGATGTTCTTCTGAGCGTCAGCACTGGCCTTGTTGGCGTGGTCAAGAGCGATCTCCAACTCATTGATGTCGCTCTCCAGCTTCTTCTTCATGCGCAGGGCCTCAGCCTTGCCCCTGGACTCGGCTTCCAGGCTGGCTTGCATGGAGTCAATGGCTCGCTGGTGGTTCTTCCTGCAAAGATAGAATTTGTTGTTTTTTTTCAAATTCTCTGCACAATATTAAAATAGAGGAAAGCAAAAGTCGATAACGTATATTTGGTGAGGATGAACTATCGAAACTAATGGTAATTAGAACAAAGTATTTAACCATTGTAAAATCGGACCAAAAGCGGTTGATGCAAACCTTGTGTTCTCAAATTCTTCCTCTTTGTCCTGAATCCTGCGGTCAATCTCTTGGCGAACCTGAGAAAGTTCAAGCTGAGCACGTAGCACCTTGTTCTCCTCCTGTTCCAGAGCGGCCTCGGCTTCCTCCAAAGCTGCCTGGAGTTCTTCCTTCTCCATTTCCAACCTCTTCCTGGATTTCTCCAATTCATGGACGTTCCTACCACCCTCACCAAGCTGGTCGATAAGATCCTTGATTTCATCTATATACAGAGGTTTCAGTGAGTAATAAACTAATTTGATGGAAAGCAGCAACTTGAACAGACTTGCAATAAATGTTAAAATATATATAAAGATTAAGATGATAAGGTGCAAAGAAAGAAAATCTAGATTTAACACTCTGGTACATAATGAAATGATTCGATAAATATGGATTGACTTTGCCGATATACAAATGAATTGCAGGAATCGAAACCAGAGTTTTAGCGTTATAAGTCCTCAGACTTACCGGGGAGCTGGTGCAAAGGAAAAGAAAAACACTTGTTAGAAATATTGTACAAACTATTTTAAACCTATAAAAGTTTTTGACTTGCGATTTTTTTTTTATTCACAGCTGTTTTAATTTTGTCTAGATTGTAGTAGAGTTCATATTAAGTAAAAAAAGCGTATTGCCTTGTAAATTCTTGTTCTCTCGTTTAATAGCTTCATATTGTTCCTGACTCTCCTCGTATGAAGTCCTCATCCGGAACAGCTCCGTGGAGTAGTCTCTGCATTCTCTCTGGGAAGCATCTAACTCACCAGAAAGATCATCAACCTTCTGTTTCCATTCTGCTACTGTCTTATCGAATGACTTCTGTTTCTTTTCTAGTGTAGCAGCAAGGCTATTGGCCTGCAAAGTGTAGCATGGAAAAGATGACAGTTTAAACTAAATGTCTTGTCAAGCTAAAAGAACAAACACATCTTAATTCTGGTATCACCAGTTGTATTAAAATTGTAAGATATTTAAAATTTGTGTGTATAGTGTAACCCGAAGTTATAAGAATTAGTACTGTAAACACATTTTATTTCTTAAGGGCTTCAGATCTTGACGTTTCGATTATTTCAAATAAACAGAAACAAACTCGAAACAAGCTTTTTGTTCAAACTGATACGATATATAGACTATACACCGCATATAACCAAGATAATAGGTTGTGGTTTTCTTAGTGCAAAGGTACTCAACAGGCTATTAGAACTCTGCCCACCGTGGGGAATCGAACCCCGGATTTTAGAGTTGTACGTTCGTAAACGAAGATAATTTTAAATTGTGACATGTATATTGTTTGTTTGTTTCGGGTGCAACGCTAATCTGTGGACTATCTGCACTCTGTCCACTGCAAGGAATTGAACTCCGGATTATATTGTTTGTTTACACGTATAAAAAATGGTACTGTATATATATATATATCATTTCATAAGACGCTTAATTTTATCCTCACTTAACTACATATTCCCCGACTTTAGATGGCCACATTGGTGAACAAAATAGTCTTCGAAAATATTGTATTGAACTATAATTATAACCATACTATATATATAGCCATTACTCACCCTCTCGACCTCAATGGACATATCCTCGATCTCTCCTTGGAGTCGAGATTTAGCCTTTTCCAGACCGCCACATTTGACATTGATCTGTTGAATGTGCTCCTCGGCTTCTTGGAGTTTGGCTTGAAGCTTGTGTCTGTAAAAGAACGTTTTTAATGTATAAATAAAAGTATGGGTTTAGCTTGAAGCTTGTGTCTGTGACATAACGTTTTTAATGTATAAATAAATGTATGGGTTTAGCTTGAAGCTTGTGTCTGTGACATAACGTTTTTAATGTATAAATAAAAGTATGGGTTTGGCTTGAAGCTTCTGTGTGTAACATAACGTTTTTAATGTATAAATAAATGTATGGGTTTGGCTTGAAGCTTTTGTCTGTAACATAACGTTTTTAATGTATAAATAAATGTATGGGTTTGGCTTGAAGCTTCTGTCTGTAACATAACGTTTTTAATGTATAAATAAATGTATGGGTTTGGCTTGAAGCTTCTGTCTGTAACATAACGTTTTTAATGTATAAATAAAAGGATGGGTTTT